TATATATATATATATATGCTACTTTTTTGCTCCCTTAATACTTTCAACAATATGAATTACAAACAGAACATTTGAGTGTTTTGCAACATTTTGTCCTTTATTATTCATCTAACTTTATAACAAAGAGGAATTTTCAAAAACATGCCAAAAAAAAAATAAAAAGTTAACTGATGAATCCTTCTTAAGATTTTGAGCCTACCGTCGTGTATAAGCTCCATAATGAGGGAAGTTACTGGCAAATCATTACAGTCGAACCTCGTTACAACGCACCTCGAGGGACATAACGAATCTGTACATCATAACGGTAGTTCGTTGTAACCATTTCTAATAAAATGTCCGCCAACTACGAAGTATAATACAGGATGAACATTGATAGATGTAAAAACATGAACATGTCAATTACAAATATGTGTATATGAAGAAAAATGATTTTATAAGACATGAAACAAACAACTCGAACGTTCTTACTTAATCTCTGTAAACATTCGTCAGCAAATGCTAGCCGCCATCGGCAACTGCCAGTGCCGCCGATGAAGCCATCCATTGTCAATTTACATCGTCTTGGCTGAGCTTCCTTTCGAAAGAGAGAGACAATTTCAGCCTTTTCAGATAGCGAGCTTTACTTCCGTTTACCAGACATGTTTTCAGACCATGTGCTCAGGACCGCGTCGTGCCTCCATGAGTTACGGCAGAAAATACAATAATGTGACGAGTCGATCAGTAGTGTTGCTAAGCAACAAAGGGGAATCCAGCACTCTACATTTTGTTCATAAGCAAGGTCGCGGCGATGGTTAGTTTCCCACAGTTGGTTTTCTCTATTTTGTGGGAAAAATCTTGTCATTACAATGAAGTTTACGTTATAAGGGTGTTCGTTGTAAGCAAAATTGGCAAATGAATGACGTGAAATCGGGAATTTGAAATGTGAACGTGATAGGGGTGAAAATGTTATAAACGGGGTACATGGAAATGAAGTTCGACTGTATTTATACATCATGAGCTTCAACATTTCTTCTACTATATTATTTTCTTTGAATTGAAATTACATTCTCAGACCCTTGTGGGATAAAACGGATCGGAAAATGGATGGGTGGATGTTCCTCAGATGTCAAAACTTGTCATTGATAGTTACATTTTAAATATATGATGTACAGAATGACTTTGACAGGAACAAAAGCCAATCTTTTTCAACTTCATTTAAAAAAAAAAGTTTCTCCACATAAACGTGTGTCCACAGACACGGGCGTAAATAATGCCTTTAGCCCAAACTCTCTTCTGTTACACAAGATTGATTTAATAACATGTGTAATGTAGAACCTGACAATCTGCTATTACTGTACTCTTGAAAATACAGTACCGGGACTTACCGTATTCGACCACGCCCACGTGACAACTGACTCACCAATCTTTGGTCATCTCGGCAGTTTATAGGATTGAAAGCAGTCACGGCGCCATCTAGCGGACAAATGATGCTCCAACATAGCATAGGCGAACCAGTTAATCAGTCGGGCCTTGCAAAATGTTTGGTCATTTATCTAAGAAGCGACGTAAGGCGACAGGATGAACAGTTAAATTCTCTTCACTTAGACAGCATAAAGTACAATCAACCTGGATTACCTGTACATCAGTACATTTTTGTGCCATGACATATATGTAACTTAAAATGGGTGCTTTGGCTCAACGATGCCTGTGAAACGCTGCGTTACATTTTGCAAGTGTACCTAATGATGTGACAATGAGTAGAAATATATGTGATACAGTACCAGGTTTAAGATACCTTGGAAGCTGTTGTTTGCACTTTATGAGAGCTAATATGGCCTCTGCGTGGTAATATATGACATGTATTATATTGTAAAAGTTAACATATTTTGATATTTTGTCAGTATGATTTTATTTTGTGTTTTCTAGGATTTTTATGTCCATATTGAATTTGTTTGCTTTTTGAGTGTTGCTGTAGTGTATTATGGCAATGTGGTTCTTACATTTTTTTTTTTAAAGAATGAGAAAGGGGTGACGGTGGGGGCGGGGGACTTGTTTGCAAATCTAACTGGTCTTCAGTACATGCAGTCTGTTTAATTCTAGCATTATATTATTGAATAATGTATGACTCAAAATGTTCAAAATTGATGTGGGTGTACAAATTCTAATCAAGTGTTCCATTTTGCACCAAATCGGACTCTCTGATGAATTAATGAACTATTGTAAGTTTTCTGCAACATTGCTTTTGTTAGTGAGATGTATGCTACAATTTTGTATCCTGCACATCTTGAACTGACATTTTACATTGTTATGTAATATCCTAATATAAATTACTTTTAATAAAGTGTGTCCTAAAATGTGAACAATGCAGGTATTTAATGATTTTGTGGCAATTGCACTGTCTCTGTTTTATGACAGCATAACATGAATGTCTGAAGTGCAATTTGTAGAGTGACAAACGCATCAATGCACATTTTCTTTTAAAGGTTGCCTAAATTGGCTCGGTGGTCCGTTGGTTAGCGTGTCGACCTCACAGTGCAGAGGTACCAGGGTCAATTCCAGCTCCGGCCTCCCTGTGTGGAATTTGCATGTTCTCCCCGGGCGTGCGTGGATTTTCTCTGGGTACTCTGGTTTCCTCCCACATTCCAAAAACATGCATGGCAGGCTGATTGAACACTCCAAATTGTCCCTAGGTGTGAGTGTGAGCGCGGATGGTGGTTCGTCTGTGTGTGCCCTGCGATTGGCTGGCAACCGGTTCAGGTTGTGCCCCGCCTACTGCCCGAAGACAGCTGGGATAGGCTCCAGCACCCCCGCGACCCTTGTGAGGAGGAGAAGCGGATCGGAAAATGGATGGATGAAGGTTGCCTAAATTTGTCATCAGAGTCCCATCCTCGTATGCGCGATTGCAGTCAAATAATATCCGCTCATCATGTCAGCGCATTCCATGAACCGAAAAACAAAGGACGCAAAGTGTTGGGCTCAACATCGTACAGCCGTTACCAGGGAATAGAAAACAACATTAATTTCACGGGTCAAGAAAATTTATGGGGTCAGCGTGAACAACGTACCCTGAATGTCTGTGCTCGTGCACAACGCGGACCGTTTACAGTCCCGTCGTTGCCATGGACACGGGCCCCTCTCGTCACGACGGGAAGTAGATGGAATCATTTCCGGGTCTTAAAGGTCTCCCTCGTCCACGTGAATGAATAAAATGTGCAAAGTAAGTTAAAGTATTATCATTTAGATTCTATATTATTAAACGCTCTACACGATGTTATGCTATTTACTTTGCGCAAGGAGTGTAAGACAAGAATAAAACATTGTCGCTGGTATTAGCTTTTCGCAATGCCCGCTATCAATTAACAGAACTGTTTATGTGGAGTTGGCTCGACAGTGCCTTCTAAGTGTCCAGTTAAATTGAATGTTATGTTCGTTTACCGTTCCTTCAAGCCTCAAACAAAAGTACAGCAAAGCATTCGTAACTTTCTGCAGGATTTACTTTGGTACGAGCTGAATAGAGTAATTATTTTAAGGCATTCATAAAAAATAAAAAAAAACATTTGTTTTGTTTGTGTCAATCCTTCAACGTTCACTCCAACGTTTCTCCTTTTGAGAATGAAAACATATCAGGAAAGTAATAAAACTAGCTAACATTGTGTTTTTCATTCATTGATTTCAGACGGATTCCGATGAAGTGCTCTTTATTTCTGAAACGATTGCACCTTCAGTCCAGATGACTGTTGTCATTGATCAGGTAATTCACGTAATACACTTCATTCCAAAGTTATTCACTTACTGGCCACATTCCGAGTTAAAGTAAATTTGCATTTACAGTATTAAATGTCCGATCATGCTTACTCCCTCACAATACAGGCGCGTCAAATGTTTTCATTTTGTAGTTGTTTTATATTGTCTCTAAATGTGAAATATGAATTATATGTGTGAATATATATATATATACACGTGAACGTTTTGTGTATGTGTCAAATACAGAAATAGCACCCAAATGAGTAAAGCCACTGATATTTTTTTATTGCTGTTGTCACAAAAACTGAAACGAGATGGGTGAACAAATAAGCAAAAGAAGAATACCCAAACCCAATAAAAATACCAATGTGTTACGATTGTATTATTGTCAATGTTTTATATTATTTGCTCTCTTTTATTATTGGTATTTTATGTTAAATGTTCTGGAAAGCGCTTTGTTACAGCTGCGGCTGTTGTGAAAGCGCTCCAATGATAGTCTGAAGAACCTCCCTGCAGTGTGAATGTTTATTGATACAACTGTACGGAGCTGCAGCATCTTGTCAAATGTGATTGCGGTCTTCTCAAAATGTCAGTCATATTCAATTTGGTTGTGTTCCCCAATAGGCGAAGCGACTTGCTCTACAACGGGACATTGATCTGGAATCTCTCCCAAAGCAGCTCTCAAAGGTTTGTTGATTACACACTTGTGCAATTGTAAATGGTCAATAAAAATGCAAATTATTGAATCTGAACCTGTAATTGTTTTACCCCCAGCTCTCCACGGCTCTTGTGCAAAGACCCGAGAAGAAGATGAAAATGAAAATTGAGAATCTGACAGATGAGAATATTGAAAAGAAAATCAAGAAATGCAAGAAAGAACCAACCTCACCGACAAAAATTAACGACCCCACAGTTGCTGACAGGACAGCACAGCGTGTAGAAAAGAAAAAGAAGAAAGTAAAAAAAGAGGACTCGGTTGTTGAAGTCCAGGGGTCTTTCGAAGTAGGTGAAGAGGAGAAAGAGAAAAAGAAAATAGTGAATGATTGTGATATAATCGATGGAAATGGCAAAGAAACAAAGCTAACTGACTGTCAAGAAGGAACCAAGAAAAGTCACGAGAAAAAGTCAAAAAATAAAACTCAGATTAAAGAGGAAATTGTTACTCCAGTTGATGAGAACATAGCAAAGGAAGCCAAGAAAGAAAAAAAGGCGGTTCAAGACAAGAAGGCGGCAAAGAAAGCCAAGAAAGAAAAAAATGAGGTTGATGACAAGAAGGCGACAAAGAAAGCCAAGAAAGAACAAAATGAGGTTCATGACAAGAAGGTGGCCAAGAAACCCAAGAAAGAAAAAAATGAGGTTCATGATACTAATGGTTATCACGTGACTGATGACAGTCCAGTCATCAAAAAGAAGATGAAAAAGAAACGAGAAAAAGAAAAAAGTGAGAGTAATAAGAAAAAGCGGAAAGATAACGAGACACAAACAAAACATGAAACTGTTTGGCAGCAGGAAGAAGCAGACAACGTACCAAAGACAACCAAGAAACAACAAAATAAGACGCCACATACGATTGCAGAGGACAATATTAAACATAAGAAAAAGCGGAAAAAGATCACAGCGGAACAGGATGAAACAACTGCAAAAAAGAAGAAGAAAACCGCTGAACCGAAATTAGCGGAGAGTGAAGTGGCCACAGAAACACCTGAAGAGGTTTGTGAGCTGAAGCCGAAGAGGAAAAAAAAGAAGACTGCTTCACCGGACAATGACAAATCTGAGGATTCCAATAAAGAAGCAGCACAGGAAGAAAAGAGTGACGCCGGCGTCGAGGAAGGTGAGACTCAACGAAAGAAGAAAGGAGAAAAGGCCAAAAAGAGAAAGTCTTCTGGGCTCGACACACAAGACGAGACTGCATCGATAAAGAAGAAGAAACGAAAAGTAGAAGAGCCGAAACGGGAGGAAACAGTAGACCAGGAACCGAGCAAGAAAAGAAAAAAGAAGAGTTCTGTTGAGGTAGAGAATCACCTTGAAGTGTATACTGACTCCAGCATGAAAGAGAAGGAGAAGAAGAAGAAGAAGAAGAGGAAGTGTATCCTGACTCCAGCATGAAAGAGAAGAAGAAGAAGGGGGAGAAGAAGGAGAAGAAGAAGGAGGAGAAGAAGAAGAAGAAGGGAATGAAAGAAGAGTTGGGCAACCACGTGGTGAGTGTGTCATTGTTCGATATCGTTGAACGTTCGAGCCGTGCTTGGTTCAAGTTTTTGGGATTTTGTGTTTCAGGGTGTTCCCCACGGGGATGTGGTCTTCTTGTCAGAAAAGAGCGGAAACACTGACGAGCTGACCATCAACCAGGTGAAAATGAAGCACGACGTCGCTTTGCTTTGTGTCGCTCAGAATTCTCACATTCCCTTAACTGCCATGACGGAACAGCTCAAATCAATTCAAATTACATAACTCATATATACCACTGGCTGATGACTTTTGTTACCTTGGAGGTCATCATGTTACAATAATTTGGTACCAGAAATATCTGTATCCTAGAAACAACAACACTTTAGCTCTGTTATACCCTGTCTGCAAAAAAAAACAAAAAACACACGCACACTAAAGAGGCATTGCACAGTCACAAGTGTTACTAGCAATGGCAACAAAGCATGATTAGAAGACTCCTCTGATTGCACCAGTCATAAAATTAGTGGCAGTCCGCTGAGTAGTGCACTGGAAGGGGCATGAATAGGTTTCAAAATAAGAGCAATAAAAGGAAGTGCAGTGTGGGCTGCCTTCATCTTTCTCTCTTTAAAGCATTTGATCGATCGATCTGCCTTGTTCAGTGCAAAATGTCTCATCCCATGTTATGTATACCGGTCACTTTTTCCCATTTTAACAATTTACGTTGTCATACCAAATAAACACTAATCGTGATCTTTTAAGCACATTCAATTGATTTTATTTTTTTTATCAAATGTAAGATGAATATCGTTGAGGGGAATGGTAAGATATTTTAAGATTGATACACTAGTAAGGGTGAAATTGTAGATCTTCATTAAAACATTATGAAGTGGGTGAGTCATGAAACTCCAGGGATGAAAATGAGTCCCACTCTGGCCTTCGTTAGCAGGATTATGCAACATTGTCAAGGGCTGAAGAATCGGGCAAACGTGTAATCCTTTAGGAAGATAACACAACTCATGAGCCACACTATATTTTGAGTTGCACAGCACACAGGAAATCAGATCAGAGTTTTAGGTTGCAACCAGTGTTTGCATCTCATGAGCAGAGTGAGTACAGGCGGTGACAGAAAGCAGAATAGTGTCCTTCCAACAACTCGTGGGCATTTTCGCATTGTTCGTGTTCTCTGGTTTGCTGATTCTGGCAACTCTTTTCTATGTTCGTTGATATAGTTTTTTTTCGCTCTGTCACAGGAAAGGCGACAGGCTTTACAGATGGAAGTCGATAAGGCCTCTTACCCTCAAAAAGTGGCACAACCCTCAGTCAGTGATCCTTTTTTATTAAGTACTTTGCGTGCAATGCCCATCAAATGAGATTATAAAAATAGAAAATATTTCGTAAAATACTGTGTCATCTTACAGCAGCATTCAAATTTAGCTGCGCATTTTGGGTGTACAGGAGAAGTAAAAAGAACTCTTAATGTTCTCAGACAAGTGCATTCATTTGTGCCGCTTTTGAAATCATTGCTTCTGAACTCTCATCTCATCTCAGGGGTTTGGTCAGTGGAGCACCGCCCAGTTTGAAAGCTCTCAGCAGCAGCAGAAGTTCCTCAGGTTGATGGGCGGCTTCAAGAAGGACTCGCAGCCAGCTGCGGCTGGAAGCCCGGCAACGGCAAATATGGCGCTCGGCAAGAACGCACAGGAGCGTCTGCAGCAAGGACTCGTGGAAGAGTTTGAGCGGGCCCACTCGCGCCGGATAGACTTCAACAGCAGAGGTGCGGGACTTGGGTTTAGTGAATCGACCAAAAAGAAAGTCTTTATCGACATCAATCTACGTCGATCTGTCCGCTTTGATGACTGAGCAGCGCTAGGTCTGAGAAAGGTGGAGTTTGCAGTTTTCAAGATGCTGGCAACATTTGTATGTTGCCTCGAGCTTCACTTCTCAGGATCCCTGACCAAAACCATGCCCTCACTAACATGCATCACACATGCTCTCTGCGTAGGAGAGCACCGTTACATGTTTACCCATGATCTGTTTTGGGAGCTGGCTAATTCCATTTTTGTGCGGGTGTGTGTGCTAACCAGAGATAAATGATCTGCCCAAGAAAATTACAAGCGTAAACTTCAGACTATGAGCCACAGACGCAGCGATTGGCACACTACTGGGTCACGCTTTCTGTCACAACAGTCCCTGGTAGGCCATTCTTGTCAAATAACACTTTCAATGGCTACTTTTAATTAGAGATGGCTTTATGTGTCCCTAAACATGTTTTTCATGCTGATTTTTAAAAAAAATGTCTTTACTTTTTTTTCTTAGCACATCAGTTTTTTTGTGACATTTCAACATTTTTTTTTTTACCTTTATAAGCTAGCACAGCATGTTCTTTTTCTACCACGTGTTGTACCGAATAGCCATGCCGTTTCAGAAAACAATTGTCACAGAATCTAACCTTTAATTTTATAAAGAATAATTACTAAAAACAATTCTATTTTATTACGAAAACCTGATGTGAGACAGATTCAGAGGGTTTACTTGTATCTCTGCTGACCAGCGTAATTAATAAAATACAATTAGCGGCATAACATGGGGCCTGACGGATGATTTTTCAAAAGATCATTGTTGTAATAATGCATTGTCAGATCATGCAGATAGTTTTAACATACAACTTTTTGTACTGCAAACTCCAACTTTAATATTATTTTAAGTGTTGTCTTCTTTCAGTTACATCAAGCGTTTCTTGTAAATAAACAAATGCTACACTACTGTTCTTTGGATATTTTTTCCAATTGTGAAGGTGCAATCGCTAGGTATTGAAAAAGGCAAAGCTTAAGAATATTCTTTTCATTTTATTTCATTCTTGCAAAGATCTTCAGTAAGACAAGTGTTCATTTAAAAAAATATTTTCTGCTTGTGTGTACGAAAACAAGTAATTTAACTCAGTGAAACTGAGACAAATGGAATCGATGGTGTGTGCTGCGGAAAATGAGCACCAAAAATGTACACGGAGTCATGCAATGGGCCATTTTTAAAAGTAATTAAAATGCTCTCAAATGCAGGTCAGACTGCAAGATGAGCCTTGAGTTTGTCATTGGTGCAACTTAACGGCCATAAAAAAAAAAAAAATTAAAAAAGCAGTGTGCTTTTACTTTGTGTCCATTGTATATTGCAATTGGCTCTTAAGTTTCATCTGTGTTTCTGAGATGTTAAATGTACGGGAAAAATACAATATGCCAGAGCAAAACATAATAAGCGTCCAAAGCATATCGTCAATTTGAATATATCCAAAGAAGCAGGGAGGCCTCTGAGTCAGCCAGGGATCGGGTGAGGGGGAAGCTGTGTGTTCCTCGTGAAGACAATCAAGTCTCAAGTTTGTTGTCACGCGTGCAGATACTCTGGCTGGACCCTTGCCACTTTGCGAAACTCTTTGCCATGCGTCAGGGGACACTGCATCTCGCACCAGCTGTTTGGAACCATCTGAGCACCTGGTTTACAGGGAAACATGACAAGTGTGATTAAATGAGACAAGACAATGCGATATGGTTTGGGCCCCAAAATATTCGGACAGTTCTGCAGCATTTAGCAACAATTTTCAGTAGATGAGCACAATTTTGAGAGGTTCAGCTATTTGAACAAATACAACGCCCTAAAAATCTGATGAAAATCCATCGCAGACACTTACTGCCTGAAGTCGACAGCACCAAATTCTGAGGTTCCTTCCAGGAAATGCTTTGCCCGACCATCAACCTCTTGCTTCTTTGTAAGTCTTGCTACCTTTTCGTCTGCATATTGATTCTCCTCAAAACCACTCGAATATACTGTAGGTCAGGGCCGACAATTGTAAATGTCAAATATAATATGTACTGTTGTCAACGTCCAAACGACACACTCATCGGAATAGTCACATGGAATAGACGGCCAATTCTGATGTTTTGAAACAACTCCTTCAGTTGAGTGTTTACAAACCTTTACTGATCCGCCGCTCATATTTTATATTGGAAAAATCTCTCAGCACACTACAAAATGCTTGCAATATACACTCCAATAATTCATGACCGTCTAAATTCACTCACAAATCAAGTTACTCAGTATGAAATCTTGGCCTGGTTAGTAGAACACAGAGATGACAGTCTTCTTGAGGAAGCCATGACTTCTTTTGTCGAATTAATGGCAAACAGGTGGATACACGGGTTTAAGTGGACCTTCTCCCATCTAGTGGAAGAGCATTTATTTAATTGTTGTGTCCATCCTTGTACAACATTGGCATAGTAGTGGCACAGTAAATGACCAAAGATACATTATTGTTGTGCATAAATCATGCTTTAGGGACCAATTAAGTGAAAATGGAAAATTTCATATGGCTATTTGCAATTCTACACCATTGCGCTACCACCACAATAACAAAACTAATTCATTTCCCGAATCGCTGAATAACTTCATTATGGAAACAAACTTGTTAACTGGATGTACGCACCACCATTTGGTCTCAAAAAGATGCTGCAGAGATGTTTCTTAAGAGTTTACCTGCTTCACTGTGGGCCACCACCACCCCGAGTTCATTCTCAGCTGTGGTCAACAGGTAGTTGGACTGCACATCGCCCAGAGAGATCTGTCACCGCCCAGGTCAAGAAGACGACAACATGGGAGTGTCTTGTGGTTTAGCTACAACGAGCTCAGTAACACTCCATTAATTTTTAGTCCTGCTACTCTCTGTCTGAAGCATCGACACTTAAAGAATACTGTATGTGATATGGTAACATGCATTATCAAACATTAAAAACACAAAACAAAGGATACCACTTTCGCCAGGACAATGTCTCCAGGCCTAAAACATTTGTACATCTCCACCTGCAGAGGGAGATGAGGCAAAAACAGACTATCTTAAATTAAATTGTGAAATTCATAGAATCTGTTCAAAGCTACTGCTTCGGAGTCTTTTAAACTAACCTTGTCTTTCTCCGTTGCCCTGACATCTTCTTTTCTGAGGGTTCAGAGAAGAGTCATAGTTTTGTAATACACAATGAATGACGAGGCGCTGAAAACTGACTGATTCTCTTTTGAAGTGCATTTTAGACATACCTGATAGTTCCTCTGAAGCGGTCCTTCAGTGGTGTGGACCCGACATAAAGTATATGAACCTTGGCAAACCTGGGATTGATACTAGTTACCTGTCCAATCAAAGAGCAAGGCCATGTCACTCCTTCATGAACACTTACTGTATGTACAAACTCACAAGCGATGCTTCAATTAAAAGACGAAGTGCACGTAGGTATGGAATCCAACACAGTTTTGGCTCTATCACGGATATGTATGCAATCCTTTTTGGGTGGATTTTTACAGTACACAGGCAAGTCTGAATTTGGAGTGGCGCATCTTGAGTGTAGTACCATGTTGTGCCACTACAAGGTGGGCAGCACTGAGGGTTATTTCAAGACATGCGTGACAAATAAGATCAAGAAGAAGATGACACCCCTTCAGCGTAACACAGTAGTACCATGTTTTGCCGTCATAATATTCATCTGTACAGAGCAGAGAGAATACAGGATACGTGAGAAGTATTCTTGCTCTGTGTGTGTTAAAGTTACTGTAACATCTATTCTAATATCTAGTATATAAATTATTTAACGTTTTCTGATATAGTATCTACATCGCAGCTTTTCACCAACTGCAGGTGGGTTTTTGAACATATCCCAGCGCTAAACACAGGTTCACTATGTAACGCCTCTGCATAAAGTTTCATTTTTTGCTGCATCTGTTTGAAGCACACCAATTAATTGTACACGTTGAATGGTGGAGTCCAGCGATTATTTTGTCTTCCCATTATAACAATAGGACAAATGACAACATCTCACAATTAACAGTTGCGGGTCACATTTAATTACCTTACAAGTGACAATTGCACCAACATCTGGCAGTAGTTGGGTTTCCGTTTCTCTCACGACAGAGATGACTGGTAACTTGAAAAGAAGACCAGAAACAAAACATTGCAGTAATACTTCACCTGTTACATTCATTTGATTCCATTTATTGTTAAATAGCCTGAGAGACATGTCACATTTCCACGCGGTTGAATACCTCTGCAGTTTCGTCCGACCGCACAAAAGCCATAAAGCTCTCACCTCCTCGCCTTCGTTCTTCTTGAGCACATAGCCTGCAAGTGAGGAATAAATGTAGCCATGCCTCAGGTATACGCCTGTGCCTGGAGTACAGTCTTCTACACTGCAAAGTTTATCACCTGAATACAAAAAAAAAAAAATAGTGAGAAGAAACATATTGATGAGATGTGTGCATGTGTCTGTGTATGTGACTGATACTAAAACTACGAATACTACTTAAACAGAAAAAAGGAGGGTTGCCAACAGTCAGCCCGACATTCACTAATACAGTATCAGGGGAATTAACATAGCCACGAATCCTAAGAGTATTTATCGACAGGCATCATTTATCTATGCATTGTTGTTGTGTTTAACATAAAATTTCTCCCTCAACCCAACCAAGGATTTCAAATAAGCCAGAAAGGAATGCGGTAATCCTGCCTGGGGCGATGGGCAGGGCTGCTGATGGTTAAACCTGCCGTGGAAAGTAAAAGTCAACAATGAACTCCCTAACAAGTAAGGCTAAATTACTCCTTTGTTTAACGTGAAACGAGGTAACAATTCTGCAATACAAACGTAAATACTGGACTTGGAACACAGATTTCAATGAGTACCACAAATCCAAAGTGCCCACGCGTGGTAGTTTACAAGTAATTATTTAGCATAGCTTAGCCCTTCAAGCGACGGTTTGACGTTTTATAGGAAATGGTACCTTAAACAAATACAGATCTGGAGATTTCGGGCTACTGAAGCTATAGCACATATTTCCACACGCAGGTTACCCTGAAAACTTTGGAGCGACAAGAGTTACTGTCAACAAAGATAAGAAACTCACCAGGAACACACAGCTTCATGGGTGACATGTTTGCGAGAAGAACTGCACACGAGGTGATTTGGTCGTGACGAAGGGTTAAGATCGATCCTGATTGGTCAGTTAAAGAGGACCATGTGACCCATAGAGACAAACGCCCACTTGTGACAAACATGACTGGGTGCAGACGTACAAACCTCGTCGTCATCTTGAACCGGGAGTTAGAGGCGACTGTGTTTGGCGCCAATAAATTAGAACTCGTCTAAATTTTTTTCCCGGTTTGTGTTTGTTAAAAAGACCAGACATGCAGTTATGATGCCAAACACGTGGGTAATTTTATAATCTGGATTTTCATCATAATATTAGCTCTAAACTCATTTCATCAACCAATCAAACTTGTTTATTTTTCAATTATATGTTATTACTCACTGCACCATTTTGGACTCTTATATTTATATTAATGTTGCTTTATCATACGATTAGTAAGTTATTGAATATTATATATGTTTTATATAAAACAATGCATCTTCATATAGCGCTTTCCCAACAGCAATGCATAATAACATATATTTTGTATATTGTGTATTTTATATCAATGCTTGTTACATCCGGGTCTAATGCATCTAACTGATTTTTAATGCACAGTAATTTTTTTTCATACCGTAGACACATTTCATAGGACAGCTTTCGGTATTTGTAATGCTGTTATCAATTATGTCTGTTATCAGTACATTTCTAAAAAGTGAAATGAAATAAAAGGAAGAATTGGGCAGCTTTGGAGGTGTTTGTTATCAGGAAATTGTTTTTTTTTTTTTTTTTAATAAAACATCAGAACCTACACGTGAAACTGACAGTTCTTGTGCGGTTATGTGATAGACATGGTGGAAAAAAGAACAAACGCTCAGAAAAATCTTTTTAACACGTAATAGTGCAGTACATTTATTATTTTCTGTGTCACAGCAAGGACAAGTGCAAAGTAAATTAACGGTAACTTGCTTTCAACAACAGTGTTACTGTGGGATAACAGGACGTAAAAGCCAATGTCTAAGATGAACATTTTGTTCAGTACATACAGTACATCAAAATATCAATTCTCTAAAACTTTGTATGACAAAAAATATAGATGATTCTATTCAAACTTCTGAGTTAAACATGGTAAGGGGTTTGCATGTGTGTGGCTCGTGATGGTGACAACACTAACTGGTTTTTGACGAGATTTTTTTATTTGTTGTTTTTTGTTAACTGAACAGCACGGCATTGATCTAACGATCACCCCACTCACCGGAGCAGAGTTTATTTTTTTGCTTTTCCCTGAGCTGCCACAGCAGCCATGGCTTTCTGTACAGTCTCTTCATCTCCCAGAAACTGCATGGGTCCTATGGGCTTCAGATTTTTGTCCAACTCGTACACAACGGGAATGCCTGTCGGAAGGTTCAGCTCCATGATGGCCTCCTCAGACATACCTGCAATACGATAACAGGTAGAGCTTACAACCTAGCAGCATCATTTGTTATTGAACTCACCAGCTGCACTCAAAAGTACAAAAGCCTTACTCGACACTCTGTGACAAACATGCAGACATACTGGGCCATTTATTTAGCTGTTTTATCATTAGCGTTTTGGCCACTGTGCTTGCACCAGTGCATCTAGCAACAAGTTGCTCTTTGGTTGCACGCTCACTGCTAAATAGGTGCAAAACAGCAACATCTGCATTTACATATTTTAGCCCAAAATTGAATTGCACTGAGTATGTCTGAACTGGACATTTGCAGAGAAAGAGGGGGAAAGTGGAAAAAACAAATTATTTTTGATAACCTTATTCATTTGTGAATGGAGTCATTGTCTGCACAAAGCTCTCACACATGCTTACCCTCAAGGTGCTTGACAATGCCACGGAGACTGTTGCCATGGGCAGCAATGAGCACCCGCTTCCCTTCTTTGATCTGTGGAGCTATTTCATCATTCCAAAAAGGAAGAGCACGAGCAATGGTGTCTTTCAGACTCTCACAAGTTGGAAGCTGGTCTTCTGTCAGATCAGCATAACGTCGGTCCTACAACAAAGGAAATACTTCCATGCAGTTTATTACTTTACAGTCATATGGCACGAATCATCATGTCGGTTACACAACCTGTTTAAGACTCGATTTCGCCGCCTTTTATTTGGTGTTCTGTCAAAAGTCACGGACAAATAAGTGCTTCTTCCAATATTCCACCTTACGCCATGTGTGAAAAAAAGTTAATTTCAAACAATTTACTGAGTAGGTGCTTCTGAAAAACCAGTATGATCAATAGACCGAATTTTAAAGTATTTTATGTCACACCAGACACTGGCACTGATGTCATGCAAAAAGCAAAGGTGGCGTATTGCTCGAGCTTCTCTTACGGCTCTACTGTGGGTGTTTTTAGGATCGCTACACAAAAAAGGCTAATGAAATGGTCTCTTCTGAAGTAACCTTGCTTATGGTCTGATAGAAGTCATGGCCCTCATCCATGGGTGGGGGAGGGATGTCAAAAGAGCGCCTCCAAATCTTGACTTGGGCCTCTCCGTGTTTAGCTGCCGTTTCAGCCTTGTTCAGGCCAGTTAGACCACCGTAGTGGCGCTCATTGAGGCGCCACGTCCTGTGCACTGGCAGCCACATCTGGTCGATGCTGTCCAGAACAAACCACAGAGTGCGGACGGCCCGCTTCAGAACAGAAGTGTAGCAAATATCAAACTCGTAGCCAGCATCTGAGGAGAGATAGTGACAAAGACCACAATCGGTTTCAGTATATGATTTTCTTATACAAAGATGTGTACAGTTTCTTTTTGGCTCTGCAGTGCCTCTACTCATACAAATGTTTTGAAGTCATACATTGGGTTGATAATCCAAGACCCATGTTCTCTTAACCAAAGGCTACTCTTTGCATTTGTTGTACTCAGATCTTTTAAATCAACAGCAATTTCCCGATTCAAATTTTTTTTTTTTTTTGCTACACGCCTAGGATTTACAGTTTAAATAGTCAGCATACATTAGCGAGTGTGAAATATGTACATATACCATGATGCAAAGCAATGATTTATCAAACTGCAATTGGATGGTGATCCGTTCAGGGTGTACCCAGCCATTCCCTCCAGAGTCAGTTGGGAGGCTCCAAAACAACCGTGATACGACTGAGGACATGCGGTATAGAGAATGGATGGATGCTTTTTTTGGCAAACTGAGTCGTAAAATATTGCATAGATGCTTCTTTCTGTAAAATTGCACGAAACGTAATTTGTCTACAGACATATTCAATAACGATCCACTGTATACCACTCTCTTCCAACGCTCTGGGCTCACAACCTATTCGCCCCATCCGGCCCAGTTACATAAGGACAACCTTGCAGTGCTCTAATCCAATGACCGACAGAATGGCCGATTAGGACGAGTGACATGACTGCACCTTTCAAGGCCTGCCCTCCTCTCTTGGCCTCCTGCTCTCCCGTCTCGCTCAAATCCGCGTCGAACCATCCGCAGAAGCGGTTTTCCTGGTTCCAGCAGCTCTCTCCGTGACGGATTAGCACGAGTTTGTACGCAGCCATCCCTATGCCGATGTCCTCTGTGCTATATTTCCGGAAACTTTGGATCAAGTGACTCCTCTTGAAATGCTGCAGCAGCGAGCACAGGATTATCTTGGGGTGGCTGCAACCGTGCAGATGGTTGCAGATAAGTGATGAATTCGCCGAATGAAGTTCCACAAGACGCTTGTGGACTTGTCTTGCCTGAATTTGACAGCTCTCTCTTCTGTTCTCTCTTCTCTACGGTGTATTCCTGTCGGCTGTGACCAATCAGAAAGCGAGCTGTGCTCGTAGAGGAGGAGGAGGAGTCAGAAGGAGGGTGAGGATGCGCGCGGTCGCACATCCACATGCACACAGAGCAGAAACTCGTTTGCGTTGTGGAACTACTTTGTATACTATAAATTACTGCATACCTGGTTAAAAACAGTTGGCTGAATGTCATGTACAGTTGGCCGAATGCTCTCAACAAACAGAAAAAGGATGTCACACGCGAAACCCAAAATAAACACATTTAATTTGATTATGGTATGTTCAATATTTGCAAGTGAGACGTTTTCTGCAAAGTGCGGTAATATAGAGTTGAAAATGTGAGGTTATGTAGAAAATATTTTACTATCATTATCATTGTAAAATCATTCCTTCAAAGCTTTGTGTTTACAAAGCCCGTGTACTTTCGGTACACATATTTCTCACATTTTTATCGAAAGCGTTTTTATTTTGGAGTTAATTAACGACATATTTTTACGCTCTCACGTGTCTTCCGTGGGTGGTTAGACTCTGCCCAATCATACTGAGAGAGTAGATGATTGACAAGATAATTTAATCGCTGATTGGTTGACTATCAAAATACCCAACAGGTTCCGCCCTTTCCCGGAAGCTGACAGTCATCTGATTTTCTTTCTTGCTCTTTTTTTTCCAGCGTCCTCGTTAGCTACCTCACCTCCAAGCAACCAAACAACTGTGATACTTTATTTCTCAGTCTTTTTCGACTTTCCGGCTTCTTCTCCGTACAACGAACTACACGAACTTCTCGCCAACCTCCAGAATCATGGACGAGACGAGTCCGCTTGTCTCTCCGCTCCGTGACTCAAATGATTTCAGCTACGGTCCGACAGAACCCACCAGCCCTCGGGGCGCCTTTGGAGGGACGCCGGGATCGGTGGTGCGCATCCCTGCCGGCAGTCCGAGTCGCAGTCGGGAGAGACAGCCTCTCCTGGACCGGGACCGCGGGACCTCACCGCGGGAACCGCACCGGAACGAATTCCCGGAGGATCCTGAGTTCAGAGAGATCATTCGCAAGGCCGAGCGAGCCATTGAGGAGGGGATCTACCCAGAGAGGATCTACCAAGGATCCAGTGGCAGCTATTTTGTCAAAGACTCACACGGGGTAAGATGAAGGACGTCCAAGCCACAGCTTCTCGTTGGAGAGCTAATTTTAAGGAAGTGTTAGAGGGAATGCTATGAGGACTTCTTTCCACATAGTTATTTCTTCTTGGAGGCCTTTCTCTACCATGTGATGACATGACATGACAAATACTTCACCAAGCAAACCATTTTAGATAACTGCCAGTTCGATAGTTTAATATCTTAATATATGTTGTGGTGTACTATACACAGTGACTTGCAATAAAATGCGTCATTGGGGAAGTCATTCAGGCATTTACTTTACCAAACGGAGTAGCTTTGGATCATACCTTTAAATGAAATCAACATTTATTATGTTTGTGAGCCCGCTAAAGAACTACTTAAGAGGCCTTCATCAGTGGTGTGGCTTTACAGTTGTTCAACTAAAGTAGATAATGGGAATACCATAAAGAACAATGGCATTCTAGTCATTTCACCAGACTCATAAGGTAGTTACGATATTGTCTCGTTGCAATCCTGTTTTTTTTTTTTTTCTGAGCACAGAACAAAGTCCCATGCATGTTATCGGTTGTGAATTGCTGCACCAACTCTCATCGCTTGACTTGGCTAGGAATTGTTTCATTGGGCCAATGGCGACGCTTTTCCTCAAGTCTACGCAACGAAATTGTGTTTAATTTCCCAATCATACACGTTCGGCGGCTTTCATCTTTGATCTGATACGCTGGAGCTGACCTGTAAATGTGCTGCACTACCCAAGTGTGCCATTCCTCCAGAGACTGGATGTGCATCTGCGATCGAAATCCTGAGTGAGAAGCACGTGTTCACCGGACCTATTTGTGTTTAGCATGGTTTCCAATGTAAGATATTATATTTTAGGTCCAGTGCCACTTCTTAGCTTTTTTTTTTTTAAGCTTGCGGCAGAGTAACAAATCATCTCCATTGAATGTCTCGGATTTTTATCCCCCAATCCTAGCGTACGCACGGTTTCTTTACTCACTCACTAAAGCGCTTAATAGTCATGTGCCTGCTCTCTTGGATGTAATTCTCTTATGGCCAAGTTGGATGTTTCAGCAGTGTGTTGGCTACAACAGTACTACGTACCGGGTTGCCGTGAGAGAGCATCAGAGGTGCTGGGGGAAACTATCCAATTTTACATGTAGTGACAGGCAAACCAAATACATTCACTTTGCTTAGATGGCAGAATGTAAAATAAACCTGTGTACTGTATTCACCTGTTGCCAGACATGCACTTGAGTAAGTCATGGCCTCCTGCGAGTACTGTATATCGCTTTGTTCAATTAAAAAGGCCCACGTTTCACATGGAGTAAGTCAATTAGTAACGACATTATTCCATTCTTCAAATTGTTTGTGACATTTTGGTTTGGTGGTGTGCCATGTGCTTTTTCAGAGGTAAAATGAGTGTCTTGACTCAATAAAGTTTGGGAAACTGTTCATCATCGTACAACAGGTCAATGAACTCACCATCACAAATAAAAAAAAAAATTCCAGCTAAGGAACAAATAAGATAGCCAACATGTATATTGCCAAAACAGCAACGACTGAATACATTCTCAAATTCTAACATTAGCGGTTGCCCAACTTCACTGTGCTAGCTCAGCCTAGTGAGGATGGCAACATTGAATCATCAACAGTTGCGTAATTACTTGTCACACAGCTAGTGAAGCATAACATCAATTCCCCTTACTTATGCATCGCCACCCCCCCCCCCAAAAAAAACCCAAAAACAAAACAAACAGGATATGCCCAGAGTCTGCATGTCTGTATATGTCAGCTTACATCACAGAACTACCTTTGTATGTACTCTCTATGAGTTCTTGTCTTTTGTTGCGGGAGGTCCCTCTTTTGTGTGAGATTTGTCGCATGATGTCATGTTTGCTGGAGGTCTCAAGTTTCGTGTAAATTGAGATGAATATTTTTCCTGGAAATTTCAGTTGAATTTCAAATTAGATGACCTTAAGGACATTTTAATAGAGATGTTCCACGGTATATACTATAAGTACTGCATATAAATGAATTAACTATTCACTGTGAAATATTGTCCTTAAGAACGCGGCTTCAATCTTTTCATTTTCCTTCCCCCTTGTCAGAAAATCATCGGTGTGTTCAAACCTAAGAATGAAGAGCCCTATGGCCAGCTTAACCCCAAATGGACAAAGTGGCTCCAGAAACTCTGCTGTCCCTGCTGTTTTGGTCGCGACTGCTTAGTTCTCAACCAGGGCTACCTCTCAGAGGCCGGTGCTAGTCTGGTGGACCAGAAACTGGAGCTCAATATCGTTCCGAGGACCAAGGTGAACATGCGTACACATTTGTGATAACTGACGTATTGACCAAAGTCAAGAGAGAGCTGCTCATCCGTGTGACTGTTGTAGGTGGTATACTTGGCGAGTGAAACATTCAACTACAGTGCCATAGACAGGGTGAAGTCTCGAGGTAAAAGACTCGCCTTGGAGAAGGTACCAAAAGTGGGTCAGCGCTTCCATAGGATTGGACTTCCTCCTAAGGTAAGCTAGTGCGCGTCTTATTTTTTTTTTTCCTTCCTTATGTGACTACAACATGAGAAACTCTTAATGGACGTTGTTGCTGTTCCTCCAGGTTGGCTCCTTCCAGCTCTTTGTGGACGGATACAAGGATGCCGACTTTTGGCTTCGTAGGTTTGAAGCCGAGCCTCTACCGGAGAACACTAACCGTCAGCTTCAGCTGCAGTTCGAACGCCTCGTGGTCCTCGATTACATCATCAGGAACACAGGTATGTAGTCGAGTCACCCTGCTCAGCTTGTGTCCGTGTAGTCATCGTGGTCACACACAGCGTGGTCACTGACAGACTCATCGTCACAAGATTTGTTTTTCTTCTGTTCCGTTCTAGACAGGGGAAATGACAACTGGCTTCTCAAGTATGACTGCCCTATGGACGCTGTGGGGAACCGGGTGAGAACCCCACACGCAGTCTTCCCTCTGGAATGTTTTTATCAATGTAGAATTGTAATTTCTGTGTTGTCTGTCCATCTGAATCGCCACCCAAACCATCGCGACAGGACACAGACTGGGTTGTAGTGAAGGACCCAGTAATTAAGCTGGCAGCCATAGACAATGGTCTAGCCTTCCCTCTCAAACATCCTGACTCCTGGAGAGCATGTAAGATCACATTACCACTTCCACTCATCCTGAGACAGCTCTATACAAATCAAGATGGGTCGACTGACTGTCACGAACCTACTTTGTTTCATATCTAGATCCTTTCTACTGGGCATGGCTCTCTCAGGCCAAAGTTCCTTTCTCCCAGGAAATCCGAGAGCTAGTCCTACCAAAGCTCTCTGACCCAAATTTCATCAAAGATCTCGAAGAGGACCTCTATGAACTATTCAAGGTACATTCAAAGTACAGTATGAATGAATTATACCGGACTTTGCTCCCACGGCACCGTGATGCCAGGAGCAACCTGACTGATAATAGGGACAAGCACACTGCTCTGTGTCCGCATACACGGGAATGTTTTATATTTCACGTGTGCATGTTGTCCCGCAGAAAGACCCTGGTTTTGACAGAGGACAGTTTCACAGGCAGGTCGCTGTCATGAGGGGGCAGGTCAGTTGTCAGCATTACGTTGCCACCGCATCACGAAAGGCCGGATTATACTTTTACACACACACCTCTTAATATTAATCTGTCAAGTGACCCAGAGCCAATATCATTCTGCTTACATTAGCTACACACTAGAATCAGCCTCCAAGCACACAATATGCCCAACATATTAAATATTCAACATATCGTGAAGTTTTCATTGGGTTGGGCGGGTGACTCCATTACTTTGATTTTCATCTCCGCCCTTTCTTTATTTAAAGATTCTGAACCTGTGCCAAGCCCTAAAGGATGACAAAACACCCCTGCAGTTGGTCCAGATGCCCCCAGTGATTGTCGAAACTGCCAGAGCCCCCCAGAGAGCCAATAGTGAGTCGTACACGCAGAGTTTCCAGAGTAGAAGACCTTTCTTCACCTGGTGGTAAACAGAGCACGCACTGGGAGGAGGAACAGCAGGAAGCGAGAGAAGCGAGTACACGTTTTGTCTCCTGGAAATGGATTTCATCGCCACCGTCCCCTCCTCTCCAAATAGACAGTGCAATTAAAAAAAGTGAGTGTGTTGGCTCGAGAGATGAGGCAAAAAGGGGAAGAAGTTCACACTGTATCTTCCTTTTTTGCCTTGGTGCCTTGTTTGGATGTGAAGAAGTCTGAATTCTTCTTTCTTGCAAAGAGACATCAGGCTTTTCTATTGGACTCTCCAAGGGACACGTGTGATCGCCCACATGTGCATGCCAATCAGTCAAAAACAAAAGTTGTCTAACTGAAAATGGGAGATGTCTCATCCCACGTCGATGCTTTCTTCATGCCGCTCTGCCTTTTAACATTCACCCGTATATTCACCACTCCCACATGGTTTAATTAACCGCACTGGTATGGCCTACCAATAAAAAGTCTTTATTACGATTAAGCCCCTTAAGGTTTAGGGAAATGGACACACTGTGCACGTCAACACGGTGAGCACGAAATGTGAAGCGGTTTCACAACTTGTAATAGATTCTCCCTACAGTTGACATGAGTTTTTCAAAGTCACGTATGTGGGGTGACGATGGAGAGCAGGCCTACCGGTCGGTATGTGTGCTTAAAGGCGGCCTTGGTCGCGCTGAGATAATTCCTAGCCTAATTATTCCACTTTCACCACTGAATTAGTTGACCAGTGAGGAAGGTAGAATCACCCGGTCTGCAACTGCCAGAAGAAGCAAGGAGATTGTTGTTGATTCATTGGCTTCTGCTAATGGCTTCATTTGCTTTTTTTTTTTTTGCATGCAAATCGAGAGAGGCTTCATATTTCACGGTGTTGCATTGTACGCACGCAACCTAATGAAGTACACTTGTACAATGCAATGACATCTAAACAATTTGTGATAACGCTGTCAGTAGATGAATAATGTGAATTTGATGTGGATTTTCACTATTCGCAGCCGGCCCTGATCTCGAACCCCTCAATGTGCCTGTATGTAATCACATTTTTATCTTTACGTATGTGTGTTACATACTGTTAGATGTAATGACATTCAAAGGTGTATTTCGTGTGAAACAGGTGGTGTGCGTATTTGGGAAAAAAATGCTAAAAATGCACGCAAAGCCACTCAAAAGATATCATCCACATGTATTAGTCATTGAGCTTTATTCGTCATCGTTAAGCTTGTTTTATTTTATGGAGGCAGCATTGCTCTTTTCGTTTTGTTCTGTCGTCTTGCATCACTTGGAGCAGGAGGCAGATGTTCCGACGTTAAGTTAATGATCCAACACTGTACTGCAGTTCCTTTCCCGCAGCATGCAGGCTCAGGTAGTGAGTTGCTCAAGAGCCAAATATGCAGTCGAGCCATGGTTTATGATCAAACAGTTTAGATGATCACAATGATTAATCTACAGTCGTTTGGTTATCACATCATCTGTGCGTGACTATGACTCGTGGAAATCAAGCGACTGCAATCTCATGCTGCTCTATTTTCCTCACAAATTAGCAGTTGGATTCAGAAGTTTAACAAGAGGATGTGTTTTTAATCCCAGAAATACTACCATAGGATGGCATAGTAAATTCATGTTAAGTAGTGAAAATTCATTCTGTAGGTCTATTCATTCTCTGATGGAACAGAAATTAACCAAAATAGTCCACATGAAAGGGGACTGACAGAGAAGTCCGATGATGAGGGTCAGTCATTACTGAGCCGTTGCGTCCTACCATTTTACTTAGGCTTTTTCAAAGTCACGTATGTGGGGTGACGATGGAGAGCAGGCCTACCGGTCGGTATGTGTGCTTAAAGGCGGCCTTGGTCGCGCTGAGATAATTCCTAGCCTAATTATTCCACTTTCACCACTGAATTAGTTGACCAGTGAGGAAGGTAGAATCACCCGGTCTGCAACTGCCAGAAGAAGCAAGGAGATTGTTGTTGATTCATTGGCTTCTGCTAATGGCTTCATTTGCTTTTTTTTTTTTTTCTTACTTGTCAGGTGGAGCCGCATAAAGTAACTTCCTGCTGTACAGAACTGACAAATGTATTGTGACAATGCACTGTATAATTTGTATGTAATATTTAATAATAGATTATAATAAAAAAAAATCTTCCATTCATACAGGTACATTTTTGCATTAATCAGCATGTCAGAAAACCGCTCAAGCACACTTCACCGGCATGCAAATCGAGAGAGGCTTCATATTTCACGGTGTTGCATTGTACGCACGCAACCTAATGAAGTACACTTGTACAATGCAATGACATCTAAACAATTTGTGATAACGCTGTCAGTAGATGAATAATGTGAATTTGATGTGGATTTTCACTATTCGCAGCCGGCCCTGATCTCGAACCCCTCAATGTGCCTGTATGTAATCACATTTTTATCTTTACGTATGTGTGTTACATACTGTTAGATGTAATGACATTCAAAGGTGTATTTCGTGTGAAACAGGTGGTGTGCGTATTTGGGGGAAAAAAATGCTAAAAATGCACGCAAAGCCACTCAAAAGATATCATCCACATGTATTAGTCATTGAGCTTTATTCGTCATCGTTAAGCTTGTTTTATTTTATGGAGGCAGCATTGCTCTTTTCGTTTTGTTCTGTCGTCTTGCATCACTTGGAGCAGGAGGCAGATGTTCCGACGTTAAGTTAATGATCCAACACTGTACTGCAGTTCCTTTCCCGCAGCATGCAGGCTCAGGTAGTGAGTTGCTCAAGAGCCAAATATGCAGTCGAGCCATGGTTTATGATCAAACAGTGTAGATGATCACAATGATTAATCTACAGTTGTTTGGTTATCATGTCATCTGTGCGTGACTATGACTCGTGGAAATCAAGCGACTGCAATCTCATGCTGCTCTATTTTCCTCACAAATTAGCAGTTGGATTCAGATGTTTGACAAGAGGATGTGTTTTTAATCCCAGAAATACTACCATAGGATGGCATAGTAAATTCATGTTAAGTAGTGAAAATTCATTCTGTAGGTCTATTCATTCTCTGATGGAACAGAAATTAACCAAAATAGTCCACATGAAAGGGGACTGACAGAGAAGTCCGATGATGAGGGTCAGTCATTACTGAGCCGTTGCGTCCTACCATTTTACTTAGGCCACAAATTCAATTTCATCTAAGTGAGGAATGTTGAAGCAAAGCATGACCAATGCGTGCGTGTGTTTGTGCAATCTTGTGATGTCATGGTGAGTGTTTTAGACACATGACGGCTTGAGGAGCCTATCGACTCAGATCCACAAATTATCAAGTATTTGGTTAAGCTTTTGATGGTTACCCAAAACAAAACATGAATCTACCGAAAAAAAACATGAATCAAATGCAATTAAGATGAGCCACAAATATGTTAAATTCTTAAAAAAAAAAAAAATCAGTTCCTCAAAAGACACACAAATGTATATGCGGATGGTGCAAGTAGACTTTTTCTCTACTTTTTCTCACCCTACCGTCAGATCAGTTTTTACCCAGTTACTCAAATAAGTTATGTCTTAGTAAGTTCATTTTAAGTAGTGAAGTCCGATGATGAGGGTCAGTCGTTACTGAGCCGTTGCGTCTTACCATTTTACTTAGGCCACAAATTCAATTTCATCTAAGTGAGGAATGTTGAAGCAAAGCATGACCAATGCGTGCGTGTGTTTGTGCAATCTTGTGATGTCATGGTGAGTGTTTTAGACACATGACGGCTTGAGGAGCCTATCGACTCAGATCCATAAATTATCAAGTATTTGGTTAAGCTTTTGTTGGTTACCGAAAAAAAACAAAACATGAATCTACCGAAAAAAACATGAATCAAATGCAATTAAGATGAGCCACAAATATGTTAAATTCTAAAAAAAAAAAAAAAAAAAAAAATCAGTTCCTCAAAAGACACACAAATGTATATGCGGATGGTGCAAGTAGACTTTTTCTCTACTTTTTCTCACCCTACCGTCAGATCAGTTTTTACCCAGTTACTCAAATAAGTTTGGATCTTTAGCCTAGAGGGCACAACCGTCATGGTTTCCACCAATTTGAAATGAGGCACATCACGTTACCAATTTGCACACACAAACTTAGATAAGTTTGAGCTCCAGTTTTTCTGATATTAATACAGTACTTTGTGTGGTTGCCGTCATGTGCCATGACAGATCCAGACACAATTTAGCCAGTATCCACAAAATGTTGTAAAAGGAGAAGTGCTGGCCCAAAAGACACCGTTACATTATGCTCATTAGAATTGCCAAATACAATGACTCATACAATTCTGGCGCAATTATTCATCAAAAGTAATTACAAAAAAAGAGTCATTTGTCACAACCCATTTGCTTTACTCATTTTTTTAAAGTTCTGCACATCCTCAGTAATTTGAGGCATAACTATAAGAATATCCCAATTTTCCCACATCATGCGAAGCGTAAATATTTTGTTGTCGCATCCTCTCCGAGTTTTCCTTTACATTCTGACGCCCAAGAAATGTAAAATGTGTTGGCCTTTACTGTCAAACTTCCTGTGATGGAGAAACAAAACCATCTTCTTCCAAATGGAGCACTCTTAGATTTAGCAGTTTAGGCTTGATTCACTTCATTCTTCTCTGACTCGGTAGGAGATGTAGAGTCTAAACACCCGAATAAATTACCCCCCTGGCCCGCTTGGCACTTTGCAATGAGGTAGATTTTCCGTAAGACGGTTCGGCGCAGCAGGATGTAGACCCATGGGTCCAGGATCTGGTTCCACGTGGCCAGTCTCACACCCATCACCAGTAGTATTTTGTAGTTGGGAAGGTCCTCTCCAATGGATCCTGTGTAGGAGCGGATCGCGGACATCAGGCCAACGATCTGCAGGTATGAAACATTAAAGATGGGCTAAATGTTGGTTCAAGATCTGACAGCAGAGTGCAGGTGAAATTATACCAAATATCAACCTACTAACTCCTGCTTAATGTTGTTTGTGAAGAGATATTTTGGGAACCTCTTCTCAATAAATCTGATTTATGTAATCACTGCACTGTGATTGGCTGCCAACCAGTTCAGGGTGTACGCTGCCTACTGCCCCAAGACGGCTGGGATAGGATCCAGCACGCCCACGACCCTCGTGAAGATAAAGAGGATCAGAAAATGGATGAATGGTTGCATTTGTGTGCACTATCAGTGCGGCATTCGGAAGTCTAAAATCTCCGAAAGACTTACAATAGTCGACATACACTTGATAACACATGTCAGATGATTCTGTTGATTTAGTTTTACTTAGGTTGTGACAAAATCTTAAGACTACAAAAACAAAGTTATTCCTTTCACTTTCATATGTTAGGGTGATACCAAATGCATGCTAACGCTATACATTTAGCTTTTACAATATTATAGATTCACAAAAGTTGTACCGAACGTTTGGCCTTTCCAAAATGATGACGCACAATTTGGAATGACACAATCAGTGGGTTATAATAAACAATGTTTACTTTATGCTCACTCATATGACTAAATACAGTACAGTGTACAACAAAACCCGCTGTCAGTGCAATGCATTTCAATTCCAAATTACACACAAAAGCAGATTTGTTGCTTTCTATCCATCCATCCATCCCCTTCTTTGAGTCAACTCTTGTACTGGATCTCATTTTCTTGACAATATCGTGGCGAGGTAAATGTCTTGACCACCCTTGAGCAATTACCAGAATGCGGCTATCTTGAATCTGAATGGAATGAAACAATAATAAATTTCGTTGTCTTTCTGCCGTATGACATATGAATCCAATATATATGTAAAACGACTGCTTTGGAAAACAAAACACATCCTGAAAACTGCCCTAAAAGCTCAAATACTGTAGCCTATGGCAGGGGTCCCCAACCGCCGGTCCGCGGACCGGTACCGGGCCGCAGGGGATTTGGGACCGGGCCGCACAGAACGCACGTGCCTTATTTCCCTTTTATATTACCGGATTCTCCGTTACATCCGTCTGTGTCACGCTTGACACACGTCAAGCCACGCTTTCCCCCGTCACGTGACCGATTCCGCTTAAAAACAAAACACCAGAGCTCGCAAAATGAGTAAAAAAACTGCTGGAGATCAAATGACAGCGGCCTTAAAAGTACGTTCGAGACAACTGGATGAAAGTTATGTCTGAATATTCTGAGATCGCCACAGTAGCACTGTTGCTATTTCCGACATGCTACCTGTGTGAGGCGGGGCTTTTCTGCAGCAACGGCGACTAAAACAAAATTACGAAGTAGACTGGACATAAAACACACACTTGAGGTGTCATTGTCTCCTATTACCCCGAGATGGGACCGTCTGGTTGCAAAAAATCAAGCCCGGGGCTGTGGTGCGTCGTCATTTTCATGCACTTTGAATTTGTATTGTATCGTATTTTGAAGGCATTAAACATTACCATCGCGATCAGAGTGTTGCGGCCAGATTAGACGCTCCTTGTGTTTATTATTATATTTCGAAAACACCACAGTTTTCATGCAGCTCATACCATATTATTTTGTTGTATTATTTCCGCCACACCTTAAATGCCGGTCCCTGAAAATATTGTCTGACATAAACCGGTCCGTGGGACAAAAAAGTTTGGGGACCCCTGCCCTATGGTATTCAAGTCCAGTGTTTCCCAACCTTTATTGAGCCATGGCACATATATCACATCGGGAAAAATCTCACGCCGCACCACTCGGCAAAAGGATTCACAAAGAGTGGATATACAGCTTAATCATGTCCCTTCTGTCATCTAGTGGATGAGCATGTGATTGTTTTGCCTGTAGCTATATGTGGTCAGCGTGAACAATTGTTAATTGGAAAATAATTTTAAAAATGTCATAATAACTGACATTTTGTCATTTTTCGCAGCACACCTGTTCAAAGCACACTGATGTGCCACGGCAGTGGTTGAGAATTCACAGCTCAAGTTCATGTCATGTTGTTGTACTTGCTAATACTCACCAGCAGGGGGCACCAGCAGATGCACGAAGTGACCGTGATCCCCACCAGCTGCACCACCATCTCGATGTCATGCGACTTGGCCGAATGATGCGACCCAGGTTTCCTCCTGATCCTCGCGAGCACCAGCGTCAGTCCACTGATGGTGTTACACACCACTGCCGCAGCCAGGGAGCTCAGGCCTAGCCCAGAGAAAAGCAGCACAAATGCCACGTCCGCCTCGTGAATATCACTGAGGACTTGAATAAAGCACCAGGTGCCCGGGTCCTGATAGGTGTACGAGCCCAGCTGCAAGTAAGGCAGCAAGGCCACACACAGAGCGGCCAGCCAAATCGCAGACAGGCACATTTTAGTGCGGGTGCTTGTGACCAGGGAGGAGTGCAGGAGGGGCTTGGTGACACCCAGACAACGCTCCGCAGCCATGGCGCAACCTAGAAAGAGTGGGCACAGGCCGAAAAACACCATGCTTCCTCCCAGGAACTGGCACATGCCGTCAGAAGCGCTGGAGTCCTCCGGCTGCACGCCTCCAGAGAGGTAGAGTTTCAGAACCAGGGCACCGGGGATCACGTGGCCCATGAAGTCTGTTACTACCAGCGAGGTAGCATAGAGGAGGAATGTGGCTTTGGAGCGCCGTCGCTGGAGCCAGTAGGCGTTGGCCAAGATGAACAGGGCCACGATGTTGGACACGATACCCAAAGTCATGGGCAACACCACCACCATGACAGCGCTGGCGGTCAGGTTTCCCCGCTGCGACATCTCAAGGGCCACCCCGGGCACTGCTTCCCCTCTGCTGCCATTTGACGAACGAGGGATGAGTGGCGAGGATGAAGAGTTGGAGTGGTGCAAAGCTAGCATGACTCAACGCTGATGCTCGTGTGGGCCATGACTTCCGCTATAACTTATAGAGGAGTAGAACTGACATGAATAACAAAAAAATGAATTACATTGGATATGCGGATCATATAATGGATCGATAGATGGATGTATATTGTTTAAAAGCTAGCTAGCATTTCTTCAACTTTTATGCAGGCAAAACTTGTTCCCATAGCTTTCTGAACATTGTCAAAAGAGCAAAAAAAACGGCCAAATTAGCTTATAATAACAACTGGGAAAAAAACTTTTATCTGTAGGATTACACATTTTTGAGCGTCCAAAGCTGTTAATTTTGAAGATGGCACAAGACAAAACACATTCATCACAAATCATTGTTGTAGGGCAAACAGCATCAAACAATACTCTTAAATAAGGCTATGGATGTGGAATATCTTGCTTCTCCAAATCTGGTGCATAACTGTTAATGAACAGTGGTTCACATTCTTCCATGTCACTGCTGTTTCTTTTTTTTTTAAGACATGAGGATTTTCCATCCATTCATCGATTCATTTTCTACAGCCTTTTCGCTAACTTTGGAAGAGAGGCAGTGTAAACCCTGAACTTAATTACCAGCCAATTGCACAACATTTTTAGACAAATAGAACCTTTACCCTTACATTTACAATTATTGACAATTTAGAGTCATCACTGGAACTAACATGCACTTGTTTGGAATATGGGAGGAAGCTAGAACAAAAACAAGACAAAACTAAACCAAAATTAAAAAAATAAAAACGTGCAGGACACAGAAAGCTCCGAGCATGCATGCTTTACGTGTGTTACATGATGAAAACCAGCTCCACAAATTAATTTTATTGGATTTACTAATGTTTTTGTGTGTGCTTTCAAGAAACGCCTTTGCACTACATATTGATCAGAGATTGGTTAAAAGTGTTGTTAGTGTTGGCAATACAAATGACTGGTTCCTTAAACGAATAAGTCTGAATCTCTTAGTCGGAAAGTCTAATTTAAAATGGTTGCGAGGCAAAAAAAACAAAAAATAATGTAGTCAGTATCATGTAACTCACCACCGCACGATTTCGTTGTCCGTTGCAGTCCAACATTGATAACAAAAGTAGCAATAATCCAATTTGCAATGAAAGAAATGTTTCCCCTCGGATACATCCACTGGTTTTACAGATTTTTTTTAAGCGTCGATGTCGTACACGTGGTGTTCAGTTGAAGTGTGTGAAGGTTGGGGAGGACGTTGACGTTTTATAGTCTCTGCGTGGGCGTCTCTGCTAAGTGACTCTACTCTCTTCGGCGTCTGCCTGCAATTCAGTCTCCTTAGTACAGTGGTTCTTAACCTTGTGAGAGGTACCGAACCCAACCAGTTCATATGCACATTCACCGAACCCTTACTGAAAAATAAAAATCGGATTCAAGAAGTGTTCCTTCAGTTTTGCCGGTGAGAGACGAGAGTTGCTCAACTTGGCATGACAAATCATACAGATAGGATGCTGACTTCCATCACGTTCTGTGATGCATGTTGTACATATTCGTCTGACCGCTTTCTATTTTTTTTTGCTCGACATAGTTAGCATGGATTAAAACATGCTAAAAAAAAAAAAAAATCACACGAGGTACGATCATGACCGTGACACGTTGGCGACTGAGCGAACTAAATTTCCCGCAGCACTGATTTGAACAAGCAACGTAATGTGATCGTCTGCAGCCAGTGATGGCCAAGAGGGCGTGTCATAACTAATTAACATATTGAGTCGCGTGTGTCTAAACCTCCATGGCAGAGGCTCCGTCGAACCCCTGAGATCGATTCACCGATTCCCTGGGGTTCGATCGAACCCAGGTTAAGAACCACTGCGTTAGTATGAATGAAACACTGCACACTTACTCCATCAATAGCACACGCTGCTTTGAAATGACGTCAGAATCGCCGGTTTAATGCTTGACTGCAAAACAATTCATGTTTGCTGGTGAGCAGATCGAGGAAAACGTATGCTGTAACATATTTGCCTTGCGTTTTCCCTCATGTGACTGAGGTTTCAAAGTTCTACCTTTAAATGTATTCATCTACATTTCAAACTAGTACAACACCTGCGGAGGCACCTGCACAATGTTCACTTGAATCTCCCATGCTTGTTTGTTTTTTTTTACATGCATTTATATTGTTTGTATTTTTTGTCATTATTGAAAATATTTTTCAATGTTAGTTTTTGTAGTTATTTCGTTTGTGTTCATCAACTATAATAACATTGGCCGTCACCATACTTGATCCACAACATATCCTGCTGTGGAGCCAGCTCAGACATGACCCTAAAGTGTCTGAATTCAAAGAACTGTTTTGCGCTGCCATGTATTTGGGAATGACAATTTGGTGCACTGCAAACTCACAGGGAAAACGTGGAAACATCTTTCAGCCTGATGACAATCCAGATGTTCCTTTGGAACTCTAATGATGTCCGCAACTGCATTTTGATCAACATTTCCTTTGGATATTGTCAAAGGGCAAAGGAAAGAAAACCACAAATGAGGCATCCTGTCTGTGGTCGCGGTACTCTGTCTGCATGGGGAGGACAGGTGGTCCTGTTTGTTTTAAATTTACAAGCACCTGGCTATCCAGCTGGAGACCGACTTGCACGTACTGCGACTTGGAATTGGGAGCTTGTTGAAAACGCGCTCATGGGCCATTGAGCTGATGTAGGAACTGGACCCCTGACACATAAAATGTCTCAAACGTTTTCAACAAAGGGTGTTCGGGGAAGGCAACCATGTGCTTATTGTTAGGTTACCAAGGCATCTCTTAAAATAAGACAATATGGAGGGACTTGTTGTCACAGGGCTTGATCCTTTCATTTTGGACTTGTGTGATTCCACCTGAGGAACAATTGTTTTACGTTTCATCATGGCTGTGCATGGCGGCCCATAAATGAATACTTGAATGAGTTTGGTGTGGAAGATACATGAATCCTGACCTAATACCCAACAAACACCTTTGGGGTGATGCTTTTATAGTTACAAATGAATGACCGTTGCCTTTTTCACTATTTAGATACAAATCATGACCAGACTTCCCGAAGCATTTGCTTACATAGTGTACTCTGAAAAGCGTGTGAGATGTGGCTTTTGACATCTCATCACATCCAACATGTAACTACAGCATGTTGAGCTAAATGCTAACAGGCTCAGTCGGTAATAGAAGATTCCAAGACTTGGATTGCGGATGCCACAAACCAAGTACAGACCAAGAATGGAAACATTGGTTCACTGGAGGAAGAACTCAGGTTCAATTAGCACAAAAATTCTGGCCAATACAAACCAACAAACAGAGGGAAAAAAAAACAGGATTTAAATCAGGAGTGATCCTAAAATGACTGAATAAATTACTGCAGCATGATACCAATGCTTCCACTCGGCTTTGCAGGTTTGAGGAGCGACCTCGCGCTTCTCCACACTCACCACAAAGTGAAAAATGCAGTGAAAGCCAAGTTTCTTATGAGACGCCAGAAGTACACTAAAGTGAAAAACATGTTTTCTTGCAGTTGGAAATTCTTGTGTGTGTGTGTGTGTGTGTGTGTGTGTGTGTGTGTGTGTGTGTGTGTGTGTGTGTGCGTGTGTGTGCGCCTGTGCTGAAGTGTTCAATATTGGCATTGCAACTGCAGTCCCGTTCCAAATGTATTCTTCGGTTCTTCTGAGTTTGCCAACGCTGTCTGTGGAGGAAGGCCCTTTCTGAGAGGCTATTACTTATTTAAGTACCTGTGAAGCCCAAGTTTGACGTGCCAGTAATTGTGCACTAATTTCTGGGAAATATATTTATTCAGTACCACAGGAATTTTAATCTTCAAACACATCAGCGTGACAAGAAACAAGATATAATCCGCCACGACATTCTAAAGAGACGTTGGCTGCGAGGAGTGGAAAGCCACACGTCGTCTGACATTGTGCCTCCAAAAACACGTTGTGGACAAGCGCATGGAATATTCTGGGTAATAAATTAAAAAAGAAGAGGATCTAAGAGACGTGCCGTTTATCAAAATACGGTGCAGCAAGTTGATAACATTGGCTCTGTTGAAACTGGTCTTAATATCAGTCAAGGGTTTTTCAAATCCAGATATCATTTGGTCGCGGCCCGGTGATCAATTGGTTAGCGCTGCGACCTCACAGTGCAGAGGTACCGGGTTCAATTCCAGCTCCGGCCTCCCTGTGTGGAGTTTGCATGTTCTCCCCGGGCCTGCGTGGGTTTTCTCCGGGTACTCTGGTTTCCTCCCACATTCCAAAAACATGCATGGCAGGATGATTGAACACTCTAAAATTGTCCGTCGGTGTGAGTGTGAGCGTGGATGGTTGTTCGTCTCAGTGTGCCCTGCGATTGGCTGGCAACCGGTTCAGGGTGTCCTCCGCCTACTGCCCGAAGACAGCTGGGATAGGCTCCAGCACCAACCGCAACCCTTGTGAGGATAAACGGATCAGAAAATGGATGGATGGATGGATTTCATTCGGTTGCTGCAAAAATGAGTTTTTATAATTTGTAAAAAGGCAGTGAGATAGTGTTTTGACTCCTCATAACTATTTCTTTCGCTTTCAAAGTGATAATTTAATGCAGAAGATGATGAGGAAATTCCCTATTTCCTCCGACCTAAGAATGAAACAATAACGTAGCTCAGGTAAAACATTTCAGCTAGCTTTTATGTTGACTATTTCCAGCATGTCACGTAGAATATCAAGGTGCTACGCCTGTATCAGGGCCATATAATAATAATTATAATAATAATAATATGGTCTCTCTTGTCAGATTAAATCCCAGATTGATTTCCATTACATACATCTACACAATGTACTCTGGGTCCTTGGGGAGCTAAAATGTTGCACAAAGAGCGTTTTTGTTTAAGATGATATCAAATCTACCCTATCTACATACTTACTGTAAATCACACGAAGAAGCCATCGCCGCTACAAAGAGAGCAACAGTCAGGGCTGGTAAAGGCATAAAAGAAGGAAGTGTTACTATTTCAGTGGTGCATATTCTTACGCTGACCGCTTGCATTTCTGCCTCTGTTCTATACAGCAATGTATTCATTAATGATCATCAATCAGACTGCATTCGTGTCAGTACAGAGAGGAGCATGGGGATCTAATCCAATGCCAACCACAACACCCACCAAGCTCTAACATGGGTTTCGCTTTTTTTTTTTGCTGGTGTGTGCAGTAATGAAAGTGCAGGCGTGTCCATGGGGTGATTCATGAGAGTGGCTGTCAGCATGAACCTGCAGGGAATTGGTAAGTGGATCTCCATACATCGAGGACAGATTTAAGACCCAAAGTCCGTTAATCAAGTCTGCAGGGATGTAATAAAAAGGAAAATGTAGCAAGCAACCACTTCAAGTTCTCCTATTTTTTTTCCTCTTACACACATTAACCTCATTCATGGATGTGCCAGCCTGGTGTGGGGAATAGCAGATTGTTAATTCAGACTATAAGAAGGAAAAAGGGTTCACTTCAGGTTTAGATTTTTTTGATTTGTAGAAGCGTATAAAAGGGATTATCAGGTAATACAAACACAAACATGCACAGCTTTCTGAAGTTATAATGACTGTCAAAAATCAAACATTGTCACCCAGAAACATCCAACTGCTGTCATGTCAAGGCGGATGTCACTTTGACTTTGTCTGACTGTTTCCCTGACGGTGTCAGAGATCACGTTTACTGCGTCCTTAGGGTAGTCTCACAGTGCACGGATATAAATTGAGAGCTGCAGCTGGTTATTGATCAGCTAATAAATATAGAAAGCAAGGGAGCGAGAAGTCCTATTATGCAGCATATCAGTGACACTGAGATTAAATGCTGCGCGCAGTGATTTATGATGAGAACATTTGATCACTGTCTCGTCAGCAGGTCCTGCCCTGAAATTCATTCCTTTGTTGTTGCCCATCTCAGAGCCATGCTGAAATATGAGCGACATTATTGCTGCCTCTTCAACGGCACGAGCACAACTGGCTTTTTTGGGTTGGTCAAATTTTTTTAATTGGCTCGTAATTAGTCCAAAGGGTTGATAAGTGCAAGGGGGTTTGTATAAGAAGTTGGATACTTGCCTGCTTGCTGAGATGTTAATGCTGAAATATGAGCGACATTATTGCTGCATCTTCAACGGCGCTAGCACAACAGGCTTTTTTGGGTTGGTCAAATTTTTTAATTGGCTTGTAATTAGTCCAAAGGGTTGATAAGTGCGAGGGGGTTTGTGTAAGAAGTTGGATACTTGCCTGCTTGCTGAGATGTTGGGAAGAGTGCAATGTGGGACAGATTTAGTGGAGGCTGCATGCAGCTGTGACACTGCAAGAGCATAGGCAGATGAGATAAGTCACTCCACCTTCACGCTTGTGCTTC